CGGGCCGGCGGCGGTCCCTGCTCAGCCGGGGAGTGTGCTGGGGCTGAGGGGTCAGGCCAACCTCCCCTGCCCTCAGGGGGTGTCCTGTGTCCCCCCCTTTGCCCTCAGTAGGGTGTCTCACCCCCCCATGCTCTGTGGGGTTGGTAGCAATGAAGTTTGGGGGGGTTTCCAGCTGACCATGCACCCCGGCATCGCGGAGTGGCTGGAGGGGTGCAAGCCCAACGGTGGGCTCCCCTGGGCCCCCTGCTCTGTGACCCGCTGGGAGGTGGTTCCCCAGGGCACCCCTGGGGCTAGATGGAGCAAAGGGAACCACCCCATGTCTCCATCACCTCCATGGATGCCCCTTTCCCCATCCAAGGCCGCTGGCACCGATGGACCAACCCTTTCATGGTTTCTCCTCTTTTCCACCCTTGCTCTGCCCCTCCTGGGAGGGGTGCTGGGGAGCGGGCACCTTCTCAGCACATCACTTTCACACTGGCCTAGGTGTCCACCCAGCCCTGTCCCTCGTGCCCTGCCTGGCCCCAGCTCAGCCACCCTGCAGCCCTTCTCCTCGGGGCCAAGCAGGAACAGGAGATCAGGCTGCTTGGTTGGGGATGAAAGGACGTGACTGCTCCCTTGCCCACATCCCCCCCCCTCCATTTTCTTAGGAGGTGAGGAGAAGCAGGGACCAGACCAACTCTCTTCTGCACTTACCAGCCAGAAAGGCGAGTGTCGTGCCAGAAGAACGGGGATTTGATGGGGACTCCATCACCTCCATGGATGCCCCTTTCCCCATCCAAGGCCGCTGGCACCGATGGACCAACCCTTTCATGGTTTCTCCTCTTTTCCACCCTTGCTCTGCCCCTCCTGGGAGGGGTGCCAGGGAGCGGGCACCTTCTCAGCACATCACTTTCACACTGGCCTAGGTGTCCACCCAGCCCTGTCCCTCGTGCCCTGCCTGGCCCCAGCTCAGCCACCCTGCAGCCCTTCTCCTCGGGGCCAAGCAGGAACAGGAGATCAGGCTGCTTGGTTGGGGATGAAAGGACGTGACTGCTCCCTTGCCCACATCCCCCCCCCTCCATTTTCTTAGGAGGTGAGGAGAAGCAGGGACCAGACCAACTCTCTTCTGCACTTACCAGCCAGAAAGGCGAGTGTCGTGCCAGAAGAACGGGGATTTGATGGGGAATGGAGCCATTTTTCCACCCCTGCCCCTGGAAGAAGGCTGCAGAGAGCAGGGCTGCCACAGGTGGGGTTGGGGGAGCGGAGGAGGAGGGGGAGAGGGAGGGGGAGAGGGGGAGAAGCTGTTTTTTATGAGCTGCTTCACAGACAGGAGTCGCTTTCGGAGAGATTCCCCCATTTAACTCGCACCCTGCCGGTGGTTTCCTGAACATCTGCAGAGGTTTAGAGGGAGGGCTGGCAACCACGGGAGCACACACAGCAAGGGGTGCTGCCCTGGGTGCCCTGGTGGTGTGGACATACTGGGATGTACCTTTGAACACGGGGTGCAGAAATGGGTCCTGATAGCTGGCCAGGTAGCAAAGCCAAGAGTCCCCTTAGCTCCCCTCTTCCCAATCCTGGACCTTTAAACCAAAGCTGAAGAAAGAAAGCTGTGGAGACAAACGTCCCGGTCAAACAGAAGGGGAAGGACCTAGGTGTCCTGCTCGTGGCTGGGGTTCAGTGGCATAAGGCGAGTGTCGTGCCAGAAGAACGGGGGTTTGATGGGGAACTGAGCCATTTTTCCAGCCCTGCCCCTGGAAGAAGGCTGCAGAGAGAGGACTGCCACAGGTGGGGTTGGGGGAGCGGAGGAGGAGGGGGAGAGGGAGGGGGAGAGGGGGAGAAGCTGTTTTTTATGAGCTGCTTCACAGACAGGAGTCGCTTTCGGAGAGATTCCCCCATTTAACTCGCACCCTGCCGGTGGTTTCCTGAACATCTGCAGAGGTTTAGAGGGAGGGCTGGCAACCACGGGAGCACACACAGCAAGGGGTGCTGCCCTGGGTGCCCTGGTGGTGTGGACATACTGGGATGTACCTTTGAACACGGGGTGCAGAAATGGGTCCTGATAGCTGGCCAGGTAGCAAAGCCAAGAGTCCCCCTAGCCCCCCCCTTCCCCAATCCTGGACCTTTAAACCAAAGCTGAAGAAAGAAAGCTGTGGAGACAAACGTCCCGGTCAAACAGAAGGGGAAGGACCTAGGTGTCCTGCTCGTGGCTGGGGTTCAGTGGCATCAGGTTTGCAAATCTGAGTTATGGGACTGGGGTGGGCAAACCAGGGCTTGGTGGAGCTGAGAAAGAGCTGGGTGTGGGGCAAGCTCTGCTCCTCTTCCTCAGCCAGGAGCCAGAGACCCCACTGGCGTCCCCAGAGGTTTTCACTCCTTCCTCTGTTTCCAGCTATTCCCGTTCCCCTCTTGTCACCTCCTGGGGCTGGGGACCAGGAGAGAGGTGCTGGCTGCGAGGGAGAGCGGAGAAGGGTTGGTGTCCATCACTCCCAGCAGTGGCTTTGCTTGGTCCCTCGGGGTCCTCTCTGAGGGATGCAGGGGGGGAGGGAATGGCTCCTTCCCCAGCCCAAAGAGGCAGCAGAAGGCTGTGTTTGCAGAGAGGGGCCTCATAGCGAGGGAAGGAGAGAAGAGAGGGAAGGTGACCAACCCAGGTGGGTTTCCTTGCCGTTGCTTACCTCGAGCTTTTCACCTCTAAGGTAGTTTGTGGCACATCAGCTCCGCATTTTCCACCTCCAAGTCCAAGGCTGATCCTTGGGGCAGTGTTGCTGCATTGGGGAGGGGGTGGATGGGGGCAGGGGAGGGAGAAGTTTTCCTTGCTCAGGCTTGTGGAAGCCGGCGTGTGGCAGGTAATCATTAACAGGGTCAACTGCTGTCACCCCAGCTCTGTTTAGCTGGGGCTGGGCTTGCATGGCTTTGCCCAGTATGCACACATGTCCCCCACCATGCATATGCAAACTTCCCCACCCCCAAGGTGGGTTTCCATCCCACCAGAGGCCAGAAAGACCCTCTGAACCTCTGACACCCGCCTGCAAGGGACAAATGGGGGATGCTGAGGCCCTTCAGAGAGAAGGGAAGAGCTCTCTCTCCCCCCTGACAAAAGGTGGACTGCCCCTTTCCTAAACACCGACAGCGATGGCATTTGGGACCGTTTCTCTCCCTCGCCATAAATTTGACACCGGGGGCGGCTGGAAAACTCCCGTTGCCATGGTTACTGACAGCCCTCACCGAGACAGGGTGGGCCAAGCGCCAAGGTGCCGGGGTCCCGGGCACCGAAGCGGAGCTGGGGCCCCCCTCCTCCCAGTCGCACGTCCCCACCTGGTCCCCGGGCAGAGGCCCAGGGAGGCGGGGGGGGGACGACACACAATTTGGTGTGCCTTACACCCGGGTACAGACCCCCACTGTTAGCTGGAAGGCTGAAGGCGATGAAAGGGAGGCGCATGGTTGAAGGGGGGGTGGGTGGTGGTGGTGGAAGGGACAAATGTGGCCGGGGAAGGAGGCTGCTTCTCCAGGATGGGGAGGGGGAGGCTGGAGCCACAGGCAAGCTGCCAAGATGCCCTCAGGAATCCCAGTTTTGAGTCCAGCTCCACATCACCCACTGCCTCCATCCTCAGCTCCCTCAGCAGCGCGTCCGTCGGGACGGAGCGATCACCTCCCATTTGCAAAGGGAGCTCTGCAGGGAGAGACAGCCTTGGCCGCTGTCCTCCTCCTTAGGAGACAAGGGCTGGGAGCAGAAGAGTCCCTAATCCCTTTGCTTTTGTCATGAGAGAGCGGTCCTCCCACCAGAGATGATCCCAGCCCTCGAGGTTGCAACCCCAGCTCTGGAAGAGGGACCCCACCGCTCCCCTCCAGAGCTGGGAATGAACGGGAAAGGCCACCGAGCAAGCTCGTCCCCTGCAGGGTGGCATGGCTGAGGACAGGTCACCACACAAAGGGCTGAGAGAAACGTTTTGAGGTCTGGAGGCTGGATGCTGCTGCCATACCCATCAATAGCCATGCGGCTACAAAGGACAGGGCAGGTCTGGCTCCGGAGCTGCCACCTCCTGCCCCAGAGAGGAACCAGAGCAGGGCAGGAACAGCAGGTTGCCAGCTCCTGATTCACACTTCCAAGCTCTTCTGCATCCCTTGGGATGGCAGTGCCCTTTCTCCCTGGTCCACATTGCACCAAATATCAACGTATGCCACAGAGCCGGGGAGAAGGTCCCTCAGGACAACATCACTGCATCCAGCAACTGTCCTAGAGGGATGCTGTGCAGGACCTGGCCCAGCAGGGAACTCTCCAGAAGACCCCCCAGTTAGGATGGGGGCAGAAGCCTCGGGGTTCAGCCTGGAGGGGTGTCACTCATACAGTGCCTGCTGCATCCTTCTTGTCCCAAAGTGAGGTTGTGTGAAATATTCCAATTTCTCACATTCTCACAGATGCAGCCGGGGACAGGACCTAAAACATCCATCTCTTTATCAATTTCTCCAGTACATCATTCTCACAGATGCAGCCAGGGACAGGACCTAAAACATCCATCTCTTTATTTCAGTGGCGAGAAACAACAACATCCAAACGGTCGAAGTCAAAAAGCGATGGGAACGCCAGGCTCAGGCCAGACCCTCGGCCTGTGGGAGCCGGCACCCTCACAGAGTTACAAAAATACAGTCCTACAACAGCATCTAGGAAACACAGACCCAGGTATTGCACAGAACCCCTGCCCTCCGCGGGCAGGGTGACCAACACCCCCTCCGCCTTCGCCGAAACACAAGCCAGGCTTGGAATTGCACAGCAACTCAGCTCACGCACGCACGGAGGGGCCAGGCAGGGAGGGGGAACAGTGTGTCTCTCAACTACCTGTACAAAAAACTAGAAGGGAAGATGATACAAAACTGGGGAGAAAGGGGGAAGCTGGGGCTGTAAACGCCTGCGGCATCCCGGTTTGGGGGAGGGCAGAAGTCTGCACCTTTGAGAAGATGACAGTGCCTTGTGTGTCGGTGGCCAGCAAGCAGTGCTGGTAGGAACCCTGGGTGCTGCTGGAGCACCCCAGCTCTGAAGGTGTTGGGACACTATTGTCATTGATGGCCAATAATGCCACCGACCAGCGCTGCTAGGAACCCTGGGTGCTGCTGGAGCACCCCAGCTCTGAAGGTGTTGGGACACTATTGTCATTGATGGCCAATAATGCCACTGACCCCTGGCACCCCGCACTGCCCTGGTGCCTCTGCTCTCCACCGCAGCGTCCTCCATCTCCCAAGGGAACTCTGCCCCCTGGCCAAAAAGCCTGCAAGGGTATTTTTGGTTCTCTGTGGTACCCTCATACCCTTTTTGCTTTCCTGTTGGCATTAGAGGAGATCCGGATGGTGCCACCCAGCACTACCCACCGGGGGCAGCTGGGTGTGAGTGCAGGTGGGACCGCACACAGCCCGGGGGGCAGCTGCATCCTCTCCTGGGTGCCAAGCTGCGAGCAGCTTTGCACCCACCACCCTCCTGAAGGGACCAAGCACGGTCTGCAAGGCCCACAGCCATCAGCTCTCCTCCTCTGCTGGCACCTCCTGGTCCCACAGACTGCCGGCGCTGCAGAAGCCCTGCTGAAGGGCTGGCTTGATGCCTCTCTGCAGATGCTCAGCACCCACAGGGGAGATGGGTGCCTCGTGCCCCATAGCAGGTGGTAAGTGAAATGCCATCCCATCGCAAGCATAACTTGTGCTGGGAGCCCTGGTGCTTCCTATGTATCCAGATCCCTCTTTCTGCTAAAGCTGGAGAGGGTGAGCTGGTGGCCTGCCCAGGGAGCTTGTGTCTGGGCTGGGCGAGCCCCCAAGTTTGCCCTGCAAAGACCTGCGCCCAGTTTTGGGGGGAAGGGGGGTGGTGGTGGTGGCAGGAATCGGGACTCAGAGGATGCGTGTTGACAGGAGCATGAGGGGGGGAATCCCTGAGAGCAGCACTGACTCCAGCACTGCCCCTCCAGCCCCGTGCAACATCTAGCGTTGTGCGCGGGGCCGGGGGGAGAGCTGAAGCAGGGAGGGCAGCTGGATCCAAGTCAGCATTTGGGAAACATAACAGGCTCCACCACAGCCACTGCCCAGGCCAAGCACAGCTCTCTACCTGCTGCAGCAGGCTCACAAAGAGATGCCCAGCAGACACTGCTCCACCTAGCCTTGCAGAGGGAAGGATGGTGGGAGAGCTTGGTAGCCTTCCTCCATGCTATCTCTGCCAGACTGCTGACTGGCTAAGCACTAAAGGCAACTGGGAGGGCAGCATCTGCCCTGCTTCCAGCTGCCCCAGCACTGAGGAAAGGCTGGGTGAGCCAGGGACTTCCCTCCTGCCACAGAAAGCCCCAGCAGGGCAACGAAGAGACCCCAAATCGAGAGGAGGGAGGAGGAGGCGGGGGCAGTAAGTCATGGCGCTTCCCTCGAGGCAAAGTCTGAGGCTCACGGGCTCTGCTGTCGGCCCGCACAGCCTGTGCCTCCCACGGCTGTGCCAGACAGGAGAGGAGGAACAGGGCATGAACCCAGCCAAGCAAGGAGGGGGGAGCCGGCAGCAGGGAGAAGGGGCAAACAATGATATGCCATGAGGATCATAGGTAGGAGCCTGCTTAGGTGGCACTGGCATCACTGCCGTGCACAAGGGTGACTGGGGACTTCACCCTGGCCTTCCCCAACAGGGCTGTGGGATGGAGCCCATCCAGGGCAGAGAATGCGGTAGATGAGGGGCAAAAGAGGGGGGGACACACACAAAGAGTCAGGCTTCAAGTCCCAAATACCCATTGTCCTCATAAACAAGAGTCCCAGCCCAGCCTGGGGCAGAGCTCTGCTGTCTCCATCTCCTCTGGGGACCAGGTTGACATCTTAGGGAAGGCTGAGCCAGACTCACAGCTCTGCCACTTGCCATAGTCCTCCTCTCGTCCTGCCCGAGCTGGCTTGGGCTAAGGCACGCCGAGCACTACACAGCTGTCTCCTGGTCTTCTCGCTGGATCATCTGGTAGTGCTGTCGGTTCTCGAGGTAGGCAGCTAAGTCGGGGTCATTCGCCTTCTCAGCCCGGTGCTTGGGGGTGTCTCCCTGCAGAGGGGAGGCAAAAAGATGTCAGAGCACCTAGCACTGCCTAAACCGCTGCCTCAGCACTCAAAGATGCCCCCATTCCCCCTTCCAAAAAGGTGGCTACAGCTGGGTCCACCAGAGCCCACAACCAAGGTGGGACATAGCCAAATGCCCGTGTCCTCCCCACGGAGGGAAAGAGTGCTCCTTCACCAGCACCCCGAGAGGAGACAAAGGTTGGTCCCCACGACCTGCTCTTCCCCCCTGGGGAGGCTGGGGTGGGGGAGAAGGTGAGGAATGAGGGGTATGCCTGGGGGAGTGCCCAGGAATACCAACCCCCCCTTTCCCTCTGGCAGCCCGGCCAGCCCTCCAGCTCCCGGCGGAGGATCACATTTCACCAGCTTATTGCAGCCATCTGGACTGTGTCCACTAATGAACTCCCGCACTCCATAAAAAGCAAATCTGTTAACAGCTCCCAGCTCTGTCTCCTCTCCCCCTTCCCTCTCCCTCCCACCCCCCCAAACTCCCCCCTCTTGCTCCTCGCTCCTCCTCGCCAAGCGCTCTGTCGCCGCCATGGAAAACCGGACCCTGGAAGGGATGCTGGTCCCTTCCCCGGGTGCACAGCGGGGCACGGGGGGGCTGCCAGTGGGGTGCTGGGGTCTCCAGGGCGACCCGTGGTGTATTTCTCAGCAGGAACAATGGTCGGACACGGACAAAAGCCCATCCGCTGTGGGGAAGGGCAATGCACCAAGAAGCCCCCTCTTTTGTACAGGCACCCCAAGACCCTGGCACACCCCGTGGTCCTGCACACATGGAATCACAGAATATTAATGGTTGGAAGGGACCTTTGAGATCATCAAGTCCCCAACTCCCCCCACACACGCAGGAGGAGAGCTCTGTGCTTTGCTGCCAGCTCTCCTCCGGGGAGGGGGACGGTGCGGGGGGAGGCTTCTTCTCTGCAGCCCCTGAAGGCGAGTGCTCATTTAATGCAGCAGGGGGGAAAGACCAGAGGAGGAATTGAGTTTCTTTCCCGTCTCCCCCTGAAGCCCCGCAGCCTGAAACCGGAGCTGCCAGGGCCCCCCCTGCCCACCCCGAGCAGATAAAGCTGGGCCTCCCTTCCCTGGCCTCTGCAGGGTGTGGGACCAGCCCGCCCCAAATCCCTGCCACTGCTCTGATGCACCCCAGAACTGCCCTGCCCTCCCCTGCTCCTCCCCAGTCACCACCTCACCTGGGCATCGCTGTCTCACCCTGGGCACTGTGCAATGCCCAAGCCTTGGCCAGGACCAAGGAGGAGCGATGGGGAGCCAGAGATTGTCTGTACAGCATCTGGGTTTTTTTAGTCTTGAGAAGGCTGAGGGGGGATCTGATCACTGCACACAAATACTTCAAGGGAGGGTGTCAGGAGGACGGGGCCAGTCTTTTTTTCAGTGGCTTCCCAGTGACAGGACAAGAGGAAACGGGCACAAACTTGAGGATAAGAAGTTCCACCTAAACGTGAGGAGGAACTTCTTCATTTTGAGGGTGGCAGAGCCCTGGAAGAGGCTGCCCAGAGAGGTGGTGGAGTCTCCTTCTCTGGAGACATTCAAACCCCACCTGGACACGTTCCTGTGCAACCTGCTCTGGGTGGACCTGCTTTGGCAGGGGGGTTGGACTAGATGATCTCCAGAGGTCCCTTCCAACCCCATCTGATTCTACAACTCTATCTCCCTGGCAGCTGGTAAGGGGGCTGCACATCATCAGAGGCAGCCCCCAAGCTCTGCTGGCCCCAGCAAGTTTGCACCCCATGGCTGGGCTCCTGCCCTGCGTCCCTGACCCACAAGACTGCACCTCCTTGGCTTGTTCCTACATCTCCTTCACTTACAGCCCATCTGCCAGATGGACACAACCACGTCTCCCCTCTGCCGGGAACCTCCTGTACCAAAACACATCCTCAAGTCCCCCTCCTGCGACTCGTTTGCCAGGGCTGGCACAACTCCTGGGCCACCACGGCACGTCTCGATTAACCCAAGCATGTGAGGGAGAGGGCTGCTTCTGCCTGCTCCTGCTCCCCACGGGCCGGCTTCCCCCACCGAGAGGAGGTCCCCAGCACCCCCATCACGGCCGCCCGCGGGGGGAGAGCGGGGGGAGCCCTGCAGCTGGGAGGGAGCTCAGAGAGAGACTGTCCTTGCTCTGACCCCGGAGGGCGGGCAAGGGGGAGATGGGGATGAGACATTCCAGCCCCTCACTTCTAATTTAATAAAACAAGGGGGTGGGGGGGGGAGAAGCACGAGGAGGAGAGGGATTTAACCCCTCTGCAGCTGGGCTCGGCAAGCATGGGTGCTTCACCTCAGCCCTTCTCTGGCTGGCGTAGACCCCAGCTGAAGCACCCTTGCCCTGCTCTCCTGCTGGCCACGCTCCTGCCAGCCCCCTGGTGTGTCCCCCCACCAAAGAAAGCCCCGCTGGCAGCCCTCCTGCTGTCACCTGCAGGTCCGTCTTCATGAGCGAAGCCCCGGCCTCCACGATGTAGTGGCAGATAGTGCGCTGGCGTAAGGCTGCAGCCTGGTGCAAGCTGGTTTCGCCGCTGGGGAGGAGAAAGCAGGACATGTGATATGTCCCCCTCCCCCCCAAAAAACAGGGACATGCAGCACGCGTGGGTGGCAGCAAGGGACAGCAATTGGGCTGCAGCAGAAGCTTGGTGGTGGGCTGCACGCTTGTCCTCCTTGGCAGAGGAAGGCAGGGGGCTGCTCGGGGACAGTCAGTCCAAAGTGGACCAGGAACCATGGCTGGTAATTAGAGCAAGGGCAGCTGATAAGTGCCCAGACAACTTGTCACCTCGCAGAGGGTCTGGCCAACAGGTAACACAAGTCAGTCAGCAACTTACTTCTCCTCCTCGGTGGCATCGAGGATTTCTGAAGGGGCTGTGGAGAGAAAGTGCAGGGAGAGTGAGACCCGGCTGTGGGGCAGAGATGGACCCCCCTGCTCCCCCAGTCACACTCTGCATCTTTCCAAAGGGGCTGCTCTTTCCATGCTGCCTGCTCCAAAAGCTCAGGCCAGGAACAACACCCGAGCCCAGGGAAGAAGAGTTGTTGTAGACTCATTACAGAAAAACATGAAAATAAAAATAAAGCAGCCTGTATTTCAGTGGGCACTGCCAAAAACATCAAGAGGTCAGCTGTCCTGAAGGCAGAAGCAGGACACTGAGAAACGTTTCCAAGAAACATGCTGGTCCCCGTGCCAGGATGCAGCAACAGCCATGGGGACACCCCAGTACTGGCAGAGACATAGAGTCATAGAATGGTTTGGGTTGGAAGGGACCTCAAAGATCATCTAGTTCCAACCCCCTGCCCTGGGCAGGGACACCTCCCACCAGACCAGGTTGCTCAAGGCCACATCCAGCCTGGCCTTGAACCCCTCCAGGGATGGGGCAGCCACAACTTCCCTGGGCAACCTGTTCCAGTGTCTCACCACCCTCATAGTAAAAAATTTCTTCCTGAGATCTAATCTGAATCTTTTTTCTTCCAATTCAAAACCGTTTCCCCTTGTCCTATCATTACCCTTCCTGGCAAAGAGTCCCTCCCCAGCTCTTCTATGGGCACCCTTCAGATATTGAAAGGCCGCTATAAGGTCAGATGCCAGGGAAAGCCCATACGCCAGAAGGATGTAGCAAGGGATCTAAAGGGATCTAGAAGGGATCGAAAGCCAGGATCACCTGGGATCAGCCAGGGTTGGGCTTTTCGGGTGCTGGACTCCTTTGCTAAGGGTTGCCCCCTGGCCCCAGCTCACCGTTCTCAATGATGTATTTGACGATGTCCTTGCTCCCTGATTTGACAGCATGGTGGAGGACGGTCTGGCCCGAGGAGTCTCGCACCATCAGGTCTCTTCCAGCCTGGTGCAGCTCTTGGAACTGCAGGAGGGAGAGATATTGCTTGGGATGAATTGCCTTTCCCAGCTCCAAGCCCCAGCATTGCGTCCCCGGGGTGCCCAGCACATTGTGTGGATATTCAGGACCTGGTGGGGAGCTTTGTCCAGCTCAGCCACGCCACCAAGTTCCTTCCCTCTCTGTCCCCCAGGGGAGGAACAAGGCTTCTTGCCAGAAGCCTGCCTGGTTTCCAGCCACTGGTTGTGGAGGAAGGTGCTCGGCAGGAGCTGCTCCAGGGCGATAATGGAGCACGGCTGGCAGAGCTTCCCATAGCCCCAGGGGAATGCCAGAGAAGATCTCCCCAGATGCTTCTGGAGAAGCCCAGAGCCAACCATGGGCTGCACATCCCAGCAGGCAGCAGCAGCGCCTACCTTGCTGAAGTTGCCACTCTTGGCAGCTTCTATCAGAGGGTCATCTGAAAAGAAGGGAGACAGATCAGGGTCAGAAAAGCCAAGCTGTAATGCCATTTATCTAACCGGGGAGCCAAGGGTTGGGCACCTGAGGCTCAGCAGTCAGCTGGAGCTCCTCCAGGTGCTAACCCCTTGGTCAGACTGGCTCCCCTACCTTCAGGCATGTAAGGGACAAGCCACAGGAAGGCAGAAGACCCCACGTAGCTGGTGGAGCAGCCAGACCTCAGCCCCAGGGAGGTGCACAATCAGGGGGAGCAGTCTCTGCCCATGGGCAGGGTGACTTGGGATGGAAGCAGGGGACAGATCTCCCGGGTGTCAGCCAGCGGCCGCGACGCCTCTCACCCATGACTCACTCACACTTCCAGGCACTGGGCTCTGCTCAAGCTTCAGGAAACTCTTTCCATTTGCTCAGCTCGGTGAGGCCCCTGACCTTGCTTGCTGCTTCCACCTCCTGGGCCCTCAGTCAGCCGCCAGAGACAGCCCCTCAAACCCAGCCCACAACATTTGGCTCCGCAGGTGGGGGATTAACCCCTCTGCCCACACCATTTCCCTCACGGCGGAGTCAGGAAGGCGCCTGGTGGGCCCACTCCACAAATCACTGTCAGCTCTCTCCTGCCCACCTCGGGGGCTCCGCGCTCCCACCCAGCACACAGACAGCAGGGACCCTGCCTGCACGTCAAGGGAAAGGACAGGCCAAAAAAACCCCACCATGGCAGGGTCCCAAATGAGTGTGACCTGCAAAGAGGTGCAGCAGGGGTGGGACAGGACTCACCTTTCTGCGGGAGGCAGCGTTCAGGCTCAGCGCTGGAAGGGAGGAAGAAAAGGCATAACTAACCCTGGCAGCAGATCACCCAAAAGGGCACACAGCGGGTGGAGGGAGAGCTGTGGAGAAGCCAGCAGGCAGGAGGAGAGGAAGGCCAAGGGACTTTTCTGCTCTTTGGCCATGCCATCTGCTACTTCTCTGATCTGGGTTCTTCCCCATTCCCCCTCCCATTTCTACTGCTCCCAGCTCCACTGCTCACCCGTACCTGAGGCTGACTGTATTTGGACCAAAAGAGACCCATGCCCTTCGCCCCATGGGCTAGGCACTGGAGCTTGACTCCATGGTTGAGCCACCTGGTGATGCCCCATTGCTTCCAGCAGTGCTGGCAGAAGAGCAGGGAGGACAGGATGGTGTCTCACCTCCTGATCTAACTCAGCACTGAATTCCTGCTCGCTTCCAGGGAGCCCCCCATAATCTGGGCCAGGGATCAATACTGTGAAGCCAACCCTGGCTCTCCCATCACTGTCATCCTTCCTGAGGTCCAGCACCTCCATTCCAGACTCACCTGGGGGCAGGAGAGGAGGGTGGAGAGGAGGAAGAGGAAGGGAATGCAAAATGGTCCCCAGTGGGTGTGGCAGACGAATCAACGAGGTCAGGCATGGCAGGAGAAGTGCCCACAGTCTGGGTGATCACCAGCTCTGGGTCCAGCACATACAGCTCATCCTGAGATATCTCTGTCACATAGTTGAGGTGCTCCTGAAAGACACAAGTCACCCCTCCTCAGAAGCAAGACCTACTTCTGTATAGCTTCATCCCCTCACATCCCATGCCCTGTAGCCCACTCACTTGCTCCTCAGCAGAGCGATGGTGGCTCAAAGAGCCCTGGGACCCATATGTGGGAAACCTCTGGGTCTCCTTGTCCTTTTCAGGCTTCCCATCTCCTGCTAACTCAGCAGATGACCCATACATCTCATCTCCACATCCCCCTCATTAAGACAACCCCGGTTGGTGGGTGCCTGGCCAGCCTTCCTACGTTGCTATTCCTTACCCTTTTTGCTGTAAGGTCATGTGAGCAGCTACCAACCCAAGTCTCCGTGCTTCCACCCAATTCCCTTTCTGCAGCAACCTGGAGGTGCTGGGGCTGGTCCTGGGCGCCAGGCCTGTCACACCACCCCTCAGGGGATGCCACAGAGCAGGGCAGAGGTGTGAGACCTGCACATCTCCAAGGCTAACGTGAACACAGGACACCCAAGCACCTTCCCAGTAGACATTGGGGGTGATGACACTCACCTGTGCACGGTCTATCCTGTAGAACCGATCAGCCGTGGTTGCTGTAAGACAGGGACAGAGAGAGACAAGGTAATTCTTGGCGTGAGATGAGGGAGATGGCTGCTTTCCACCATGGAGTGATAGCAAACTATCCAGCCACTTCGTGGCTTGCACAGAGGGCACAGCAAAGCAAACAGCACCCCCTCACCCTCTTTACCCTAGAGGCAGACTGTTGGGCCTGCAGACCACCATGCTCCTGTGCAACATGCCTTTGCTTGCTATCTCCTCCTCAATGACTCCTGACAGGGAAGGCAAGAACACAACTAGCTGATGCCGTGGCCTTTCTGGGGGATTTTGAGTGCTCCAGTCTTGCAATGTAGGATTTGACTGGGCAGATGAAACTCAGGGCCGTGCAGCGTGTGTCTCAGCACTCACACCAGGTGAGGAACTGTCCCGATTTAACATGATGCACCTGGTTGCAGAGCATTAAGAAATGGGGACACTAGGTTGGGAGAAGAGGGAGTTCAGCTTCCCGCTGACTTGACTGTAATGTCCCACAGACCACCACAAGGCCACAAGGTCAGAGCTTGTGACTGCCAGGTACAACAAAGCACGCCACCACTGGTTGTAGACCCAAGCATCCCATCTCCTAGGACAGCAGGAGAGCTTCAAAGCAGCTGCCAGCCCAAGTGCATCCCTCTGCTCATCCACTTCCTTAAAGAGGAGCTCCTTCAACACCAATGGAGCAAGAGGTTCTGCTGGAGCCAGAGCCACACAGCCACCACCTCTTGGGACTTATGGATGGCATCTACCAAGGGAGAGCAGGACAGGTAAGAGCACAGTGCCAGGACAACTCATGCAGGGTGGCACTTTCCCCCTGTGTCCTGCAAGGCTGGTGCCTGCCCAGGTGAGGTTGCTGCAAGTGGGACCCTTGAGGACCTGGGGAATTCTCTCTGCAAACAGAACAGGGAGAGGCCGGAGCAGATGAGAGGGGTGAAAGAGACCCGTTTATCCTGTCCTGGCTGGAGATTTACAGCCAGGGAGCTGCTGCTGAAGACCTGTAATTCGTTCACTTGGATGAGCCTGCTCTGTCTTGAACGAGCCTCTGGCCTCTGCCCTGACATGTTTTCCTGAGCCCAGGACCTGCTGCTGGGAGACTGGGAGGAGGAGGTAAAGTGGTCCTGGTAGTGACACCTGGGAGCAGCAGCGCCAGCAGCCCCACATGCAGGGCTGGAGGCCCCAAGGGAGAAGCTGCATCCCTTCTGCCTAGCACGAGGCTTCCCAAGCCCACTTTTAAACCCACAGCTGTGCCCTGCTACTGGGAAGTCAGGGAGATGAAGTGCCACCAGCACTCATTTCTCTTGGCCAGCTTCTGGACAGAAGGAGAGCTCTGGAGCCCCCTTGGTCAGTGAAGACAAAGGGAGAGGAGAAAGCTATTTTCAGGCAGGGGAGAAGAATCAGCTGGAGCCCAGCAGGGAGCCTGCTGCCATGGGACTAGGATATTCATGGTGAGCCTTGCTCCTGGAGTGCTGGAGCAGGAGGGCCCCCTGCCTGCATGACACTGGAGAGCAACCCCAGCAGTCCGTGATGGGACACACGTTTCCAAGCTGCCTTCAGCTTTGGGGGCAGGAGACCAGCAGACACCCCCGGCTCCACTCATGGTCAGCAGCCAGAGGCACAGCCTGAGGCAAAGCACTGCTGCACTTGGCCACAAAGACCCCAACATCCGTGAGTCTCAAGTCCCACGTGGGTCTCACTGGTTGTCACCAAGGGTCTGTCACCTCACCTCCCCTAATTCAGACACAGCCAGGGAAGATAATACTCACAGTCTAGGAAGCACCACTTGGGCGACAGCTTCTGGGATGACAGCATCTTTGGTTTGGCTCCATCTCCCTCCTGTATAAAAAACAAGCAGAGGATACAGTCATGTCTCTTGTCCTCCTCAGCTCTTCCCAGAGCGTCCCTTGTGCTTTGGGAGGTCCCTGCAGACATGGTGGACCACAGGCGCTTAGATGGGAAAGGGAACTTGAACACGGGCACAGCACACAGCAACGGGGAGCATCATGGGACAGACTGGAGCTCACTGGAGAGAGATACCACAAGATGAGCCCACAAAACGGGCATGGTGGACATGACAGATGACCCCGGGAGGATGGAGCGAGGCCATACACACCTGAAAGAGCAGGCGCTCTAAAGCAGAGGGCTGGGGAGGGAAGTCCTGCAGAAAGGCAAGGTTAGCCGTTACAGCTTTTGTCTGGCTGGCCCCCCAGCCCCTCTCTCATCCCATAGGGGTTTGCTTAATGTGCTGTCATATCTGGCTTTACACACTGCCTGGCCACAGTGCCTGGTCCCTGCCCTGCTTTGAGGCCAGGGCACAGTGGCTGCCCAAGGAAAGAGAAGAGGTAAACCATGAGGTGACCAAGGAACACCAGCCTGAATGCACAGCTTTAGAGGTGCAGGAGGTTGCAGAGGCATCAGTCTACCAGGTTGATGCTGTAGGAAAGTGCTACCCTCTGAGCCTGGGAGCTGCTAGCCACGTGTCTGTCTGTGTGTCCTCTTCAGTGTCTGGTGACAAGGTGGGCAGGGGACAGGCATGCAGAGCAGGCAGAGCAAGAGGCAGATGCCAGTGTGCCAGCCTGGGCAAGCAGCTCTGCAACTCAACCCTACAGGACACTACGCACACGCTGGGTGGGATTCCCTCAAGCACAAGAGCCACCTAACTGGGCACTGAGCAAGGTCTCTTCAGTCTTCTAGGAGATAATCAGACTAAGCAGCGTGGCACCAGCAGGCACACTGTGGGCTCAGAAGGCACTGCTCACCAGGAACAAGGGTTACACAGCCCATGTCCGGGTCGTGGACACACGCCAGCACATTGGCAGGAGCACAAAAGCTGGCGCTTTTGAGAAGTTTTGGAGGGGGGACTACCCTAATCCAGGCACCTGGTGGGAGCAGAGCTGTGCCAGGAAACATGGAGCCCACAGAGGGCCGAAGGAACACAGCACAGCAAACAAAGGCAGAGAGGAAAGGCCTCCCCAAACACCCAGGAGTTGATAGGCCCCCATAGCATAGTGTGCTGGCTTTTTCCATTGCTCCATAATTTTTCTGAGCCACTGACACTCCGGGCTTACACAGCAAGCAATGCTGAGAAAGAACCTGACAGAGAACATGGAGCAACAGGCCATCCAGCTTGGGATCCTGCCTCCACCACGTGGTGAAGGCAAACCATGACTCGCTACCAGAAGCAAGAGCGTGTGTGTTGGTGGATGCAGGTCAAGGAGGCTTAGAAACCCCTGCTTTGAACCCTTTCACCCTCAGCATCCAGCCATGACCGCTTCCCACGCAGTCTCACCTCTTGCAGCCTCTCAATTTGGGTCCGGCACAACTCCAGGTCGCTGTCTCCTGGAACCACGATGATCCCCAGTGGCACAGCTGCACGACAGGGCACAGACACAACTCAGGGAGCAGTCCCTGCCTTATCCCCAACACCTCACACAGCTTAGCTGAGACTCGGGGACCGCAGCTCCCACCCCCTGGTCACTCAGCTGGTCACTCACAGGCTTCCTTGAGCTTTTCCTTGTCGTAGTGCAGCGCCTCGTAGTCGCGCATGCTGATTCGGCTCACCCGGATCCGCAGCCGCTCGGGTACCGGCTGCTGGCTGGGTGCAGGGGAGAAGGAAAAGGGAAGGGGTCAGAAAGAGACAGTCTGTGGTCTCCTTATCCCACTCACCCCTCCAAAAGAGACAAGAGCATAGTCTTGTGCACAGATTGGGTTGGGGAGCTTGCCACCAGCCGCTTCTCCAGCGTCAGGGTCTGGCCATACTTCTGTGGCCTGACCCCTTCCCTCCTTGAGAGAGGATGGAAACACCTCTGGGAGTGATGGATCAGTCCCATATCCCTCCCCCTTCCATCCCATTCTGCTTTGGAGAGGAGGTTGGCCGATTGGTTTGAGGAACCTACTCATTGAGCAGAGGCATGGAGTTGCGCCGCTTGGTCTTCTGAACCATGTTGGCTTGATTGCGCAGGGAGATGTGGATGCAGGAAGCTGCCAGCTTGCAGGGTTCTCCATCCACCTGCATGGGGATGGCCTTGGACGTGGTGAGAACCACCTGCCGGCACTGGCACAGCCGCTCCCCGTGGCCACCGACCTGCAAGGCAGCCTGTGAAAGTGTCCAGAGTGAGAACAGGGCATGGACTGAGGGGTGGACTGAGGGGTGGATGGGGGGAGCACATATTGTCAGCCAGATGTTGCATGTGAACCAAGTTCTGAGTGTCTCAGGCCTGATTTCAGTGGGAAGGGATTCACAGACACCAGGGCTTGACAGCACCTCGCCTAAATCTCAAAGAGCAGCCACTGTCACACAGGCCAACACCACAAGTCGGCAGGAGAGAAGCTGGGGGGTCAATGGGACCAGTCACTCCCCTGGTTGTTAGCTACAACTGGCAAGAGCACCAACTCACCAGGGATGTCATGGTGAAGCCGATAACTTCAATGCAGCCATCATCATGACGCTGCGGCTCAAAGTCATGGTGCTCCCCAGGATTGCCCCAGGGCATGGTGCCTGCACAGTACCTGTGAAGGGATGGTGAGCAATGAAGGGACAGGCCCCCCCATCTCAAACCCATGCCCATCTGTGGCATGGGGGTAAGGAGCCCATCACATGAGGGCAGGTTCTGGGGTTGCTCACCTGGGGATGTTCAGGAAGACCAGGCACTGAGGCTTCAGGTCCTGGATCTTGGGGGTCAGGTCTGTCCCATCACACTGGAGACAATACAGGGGCATTCTGGCTGCTGTAAGGGGGGGTCTGGCCCACTTGTACCCACTTGGGAAGAAATGGCCTCCCCCTCTGCTCCCCACGGCAACTGTCCTCCAAACCAGGGGAAGCCGATGACCCCACGAACACATTCTCTGTTTCCCCAACCCTGAGATATTTAGTGTGCCCAGGGACTGCTCCTCACACCTCCACAGCTCACCCCCCTCCCTGGCCCAGAGCACCCCTGCACACTCACAACCAGCTTGACGTGCTTTGCCAAATCTTTGGAGCTCCCAGTGAGGAAGTCGGAGAAAGCCGTCTGCCAAGGCAAGAGACAGCGTTAGTGCCCAGATGTCCACCACAACGAGCAGCCAGGTCGTCTGCCACCAACCTCCAGACCTCAGCTGCTGAGAGGAGCAAAACCCTTCCTTGTCCACTGGCAGAAGCCCTCTTCTCTCCCCCCTCCCAAAACAACCCAACCCATTCCTCTGGCCATTTTGCCTACCAAAAAACCTTGGGGCACCTCACAGCTTCAGTAACACCCCCCAGTATTCCCTTGCTTTAGGGAAGAGCTGGCAACGTGGGGCTCCTCCAGTGAGAGACTCAAGTCACAACAGATAAATTCAAGCTGTAATGAAGTACCATTAAACAGAGCTGATGTGACCCCATCTAGAGATACCAGGAGAGAAAGCTTGGCCTCTCTTACACACACCCTAGGCTTTAACTATACAGAGGAGGGGAGACCCAAACAGGAGAGATGTGAAATGGTACAGAGCAGCCCTTGGCCTTTAGTACTGCTCAAATACCAGTCACCCTGGGTAGGGAGGTATATTGAGGATGAGGGGATGGACAAAGACAACACTGAGACACAAAGCTCTAGAAGTGAGATACAGGAGGGTGGCATAATTATCCAGGGAGCTGTAACTGGCCCAAGGTATAAAATAATAGACTAAAGTAGTGTGGGGGCTCTATGGAAAGGCTTCCCATTCCTCTGCAGGGGGGACAGCCTGCCTCCCCACAGCTCCGGGGAGGTCCTGCCTGGGTGACTGTCCGTGAGCTGGAGAACAAGAACAATAGTGGCAGAAGATCAAGACAGTAATTGTACCGCAGGCCAGAGAGCAAGCTGTACCGCCAGCTGCACTCGCAGCCAAAGAGGAGCTGTGACTCCCAGGGCTGCAGCCTTTCTCCAGCACCTCTCCAGCTTCGGGGAGGGTTCAGCTTGGGTGCACCCAAAGGCCCATGTAACTCGGATGAGCGAGCTGAGGGTGGGGATAGGAGCTGGGGCTGTGTCTGTTCCCCAGCTGACGCTAAGGCTGCTATGAAGGCATGCCCAGATACCCTCCACGCACTCACCCCGGCATAGAACATTTTATTCCGAAACCGGCTGTTGAACTTCTCTGGGTTGGCCTCTAGGGAAAGGGAGAAAAAAAGTCCAGGTCATTGGCCTGCACATGGAAATACTTCACTTGCCAGCTCTCCCCAGGCGCGGCTCTCCAGCCAGCCTTGGCCAGGAGGCAGCCCCCAGCTCTCTTCCCATGCAGGCACCCCTGGGGCAACCCTCTCGCTCGCTTTCCCAAGGACTGTTTTAAAAGCCCACCTCTGGGACACCCCCTGACCACAGCCCCTGCCCCAGCCCCCCTGCCCAGCCCCCATACCTCGGGATTCATGGAACTCCAACGTCACCCGCGCGTCAAAGCCAAGGCTGAAATAGTTATTAAAGACATCCAAGGGGAGCTGAAATGGAGGGAGGAATAAAGATGAGGCTGCTAGCGTGTGGCCACGGCAAAGACGAGGTCAGGCTATAGCAGAGCCATGCACCTTGCTCATAAGGTTGAAGGCACACACACCGTGCCTTCCCCCCAGGAAAACACAGAGGTCACCAGCATGAGATGATGGATTGACCCCTGGCTCCTAGGGGTACACCACATGGCCCAAAGGGGACATGCTCTGCTCTTCAAGATACCTTCAACCACCCATGTTTCTGGCTGCAGAAACAGTCTCAGAGGGGCCTGAGATTAGACCTGTTGCAAGCTATGGTTAAAAACGTCTGGTGGACACTTAGTTCTGATCTCTCCATGCCTCACCATGGGTCAGAGTCACGAGGAGATGAGTGGAATTGGAGCAGGGAAACACCAGCACAACACCATAACCCCACGTGCTGGGCCTGCCTGAGCCAGTGGAAGGAGAAAGCAGACCCCCAGTGCAGGGAAGAAACACAGAGAGGAGGTGTCCCACCTTCTCAGTGGCTGCCTCGTCCTTTTCCTCAGGGTTTGCATCAGGGTTTGGCTCCACATGTAGGTTCCAGCGATCAAGCTGCACAATGTTCCCATCTTCCACGTGTGACAGGATCTTGGACAGAGGCTCATCTGTGTAACCCTGGTGAAGAGCAGGACTTCATGAGACTCCTACCTGCCTCCCACAGAGATGCCTTCTTCTTTGGGATGACATCCCAGAGCAGAGGATGTGGGCAAGATTGATTCTACTTGCATGTGCAACAAGGCGGGACTTTAAATTCAAACCAGTATCTCTTCCTTTTAAAAATCTCCCCAAATTTGAAATGATTGCTTTGTTAATGTTTTATTATTATAATAACCTAAATCAGAATAATTTGAATGCCAGAAGAACAGTGAAATCCAAATGGGCACTTATTTGTTGGTCTGTATTTAGGAAAAGTCAAAGCACCCAGCTGATGCCAATCCCCATCCGTGTGTCAAACCATGGAGCAGGCTCTTGTGCCCATCACTTACCCCACCCCAGTTCAGCGTCCTGGCCAAGTCATTCCCTGTCCCCAAAGGTAGGATGGCCACAGGAGGAGGTGGGTTGAGGCGTAACTGGTCCAGAATGGAGAGTATCCAGCCCACCTGTTCAAGCAAGAGAGGGCAAAGAAACAGTTGGTTCTTTCAGGGACTGGCAGGCAGGTGGAGGTGACTCAGAGCACTAGTGATGGCAGAGGGGGAGAGACGAGGTCCCCTTAGCCACCACCGAGGCTAGTCACAGTCTTTAATGCTCCAAATGGTTACTGCAGAAGATACCAGTGACCCCAGTGAGGACGCTGGCCCCCAAAAGAGCTACAAATCCAGACATGCCACAGACTAGCCCTCCCACAGTACCCAGTGCCACCAGCTGGACCAGTGACACAGCGTGCACGTTTTGCTCCTGTTCTGTATCACAGTGAAGAGGGCTGCTGCTGGCACTGGAAAGGCCTGGGCTGAAGAGGCCAGGGGACTCACCGTGCCGTCTCCCCCGCACGCCAGGATCCGGAGGTTGTGGACCTTGCGGTACAGCTCCAGCCTGCAGGGAACAGGCAAGGTGAGGAGGGGAGGGAAGAGGCACCGAGGGTGTTACGCAGCAGCTGCAGGGCTGCCTGCCCTGGCAGAGCCCTTGGCATTCACAAAGCCACCTGCGTGTCCCCCCTCCCCTTTGCTGCAGCAGTTCACAGCAGTGGGCGAAACCACAGTAATTTTGGCTTCACCGGCTCTCGTGGATGAAGAGCAGGGTGTCCACAGTCCACGTACACGTAGATAAATTGAAATGCAGCAAGCAGACAAAATTCATGTCATATTAATTGAACATAATGAACTAGGTCTGGGAACCTCACCCCACAGCCGGTCTCTTCACCACTAGCCTTAAGATGAGACCAGCCCTCTGGCATGGCTGACCACAAGGTATCCTAGAGAGACCTCCAACTCATTGGAGTTGTCTTTGCACAAGGGAGCTATGGGGCTTCAGGCCTCTGCCAACCGTGGGAAAAGCTCTGGGGAGGGCTCTCTGGGGCACAGAAGGGAGAGAGAAGGGTGCTGCCCCCATCAGTACTCACGCCTCCTTGGGTCCACCCTGGCTGAGGTCGAAAACTTGCCGTGGGTTGAGATACCACATGAAGGATTGGATGATCTTGGCTCCCTGTGAGGACAAGAAAGGCTTCAGCAAGGAGTTCCCAGTGGACAGAGGGAAGAAGGCACCTGGTCTGGAGGACAGGCCAGGACAATGGCGTTCCAGGGCACTCAGGCAAAGCCTGGCCTAGGTAGGAGTTGACGGGCAGCAAACTGGCCTCGCAGAAGTTGCCTTGCCTCTTCTGCAGCTGAGACTTTACCAAAACTATACTGAGTCCTCAGCAGCCAAAAGGCAATGCCCCCAGAGAGCTGCCTTCTCAGGGAGATGTAGGACAAGGCCATACCTGATTCCCACCGCTCTTGGGATTCACAAACACCAGCAAGGGCTTCATGAGAGGAGCTGGCATGGGCTTGATGACAAAGGGTTTCCACCTCCCTTCCTGCAAGAGACACCGCAGGTCCTTCAACACACCCAGGGAAATGCAAACTCTCACCTCCTGCTGAGTCCTAACATCACACGTGGTCAAGAGTGGGAGGAAGAGAACATCCCAGCCACTCTGTAAGCCTTATAGCTCGGATTTGCCCTGCCTGCAGGCACCCTCTCTCCCTCCCTCCACCTCACCCTCCTTAATCTCAGCACACACCCTGCAAAGCCCCCTTGTTTCCCAGACCTATTCCTCACTGCCCAGTCCCTCCGTCTTTCCAAGAGAAGGTCATCCCCTGTCCCCTCATCTCTTACCTCGGCCCCCTTTTTGCTGGATTTCCTCTTGAATGACGTCCTCTTCTTCTTCTTACTAGATTTCAGCGGATTCTAGAGAGAAAAGAAACAAACACAAAAACTCTGTGAGGAGCTGCTGGGCAAACAGGAGTTGTGACAGAGCCACAAGAGCTGAGGTGAGTTACCTGGGGCCGTCGGACCCGCAGAATCCAGGTGGGAGGAACGACGACAGCAGCGTGAGCCCCCAGCGAGCAGGGCTCTTCGATGTGTTGCAGCATGAAACAAGACACTTTGCTGTGATACTGGGGAAGGAGAAGAGGAGAGAAAACTGAGCTGTTCAGTTTGCTGGGGACGGCTGCCTTCTCCTCCCAGCTCCCCCATGCCAGTGCAAGGAATGCTGGAGGAAACCATGCAGGAATTTTGTAATGGGAAGGCAACGAGAAAGTTTCTCAAAGGAGCTCCCAGCTATCACAGCACAGCCTCTCCCAGTACGAGAAGCTGAGAGGGGCAGGCTGCAGAGAAGCAGCTTGGGGAGTCCCAGCAGAAAGCATTAGATGCAGAGCAGGCTGGTAAGACGTTCGTTCAAAGGGGGCTGTGCTCACCGCTTGCTTGCACCAGGAACAGCTGATGGCTACAATCTCTTTACTGTGGAAGGCAAACTTCTGCTGGAAACCCTGTGAAGGGAAGGATAAGAGGCTTATGGAATTCCCTCGCAGTTTTCTACCATCCAACAGGACTTTTCTACCACCAGGACAGATGTTACAAAGAGTGTGCCTGCAGCTGGAGCCCTCCAGATCCTTGCCAGATAGACTCATCCACCACTATGGCACCAGAGAGGCTGTTGTGCTCTGCAGGGATGTTCCTACTGCCCAAAGAAAGCCTGTCAGGAAGACAGTTCCTTCCAGGATTGATTGGACCCAAGGGAAGAACAACTCTGTGGGAAGCGCTTATGCAGTGCTTCTCTGTGCAAAACAGGGCACATGTCTTGGTGTTGCTGGAGGCTGCTGCCAAACAGGAATGGGAGGGTGTTGCTGGTCCCCAGCCCTGTTCTTGTCTCTGGGTTGACCTTAGCTTTCCTTCAGGCTGGCAAAAAAACAAGATACCTTCTCACCTTGCCACACTGCCGGCATTTCCCTTCCTGCCGTCGCCGGTGCACCCAGTGATGTCGCACAACGATGGGCTAAAGGGAAAAGAAAAAGAAACAAGAAGGGAGTGAAAGGCCCAGTGTGTGAGGGAACGCAGGAACAGGCAGAGGAACGGACCCAGGCCTGCTCTTGCAGCAAGCCCACGGCTCACACGCACCCACACCAACCCTGGGAGAAGGCAAAGCCAAAGAATCAGGGGGCAAGAGGCCAAATTAAGGTGCTCAGAGAAGAGGGAATTAAAATCAGAAGGAAAAAAAAAAAAAAAAAGAAGAAGAGGAAGGAAACTGTAGGTTGAGAATCATACAAAGCAAACCCAGCTGAGAGTGGGCAAGCAGTAGTGAGGAGTGCTGCTTTTGCCATAAATCACATCTGGAATTAAAATCAGAAGGAAAAAAAAAAAAAAAAGGAAGAAGAGGAAGGAAACTGTAGGTTGAGAATCATACAAAGCAAACCCAGCTGAGAGTGGGCAAGCAGTAGTGAGGAGTGCTGCTTTTGCCATAAATCACATCTCCATCCCTTAGTATTTCACCCCCAGTGCCAGGTGAAAAACGTGCTGGTGGAAGGTGTGAAAATCCCCAGTTTGCGCCCAGAGCAAGAAGATGGAAATGTTTGCAGCTAAAGAGAGAACTGCCTATCTCCACATTCCTCGAGGAGAGCAACAGCCCCATAGACCCCCACATCCAATTCCCCTTGCTCTTCACCCCACAGCAAGTCCTGACAGCCCTGGAGGGGAGCAAGGCTGCTGGCAGGCACCTTCTCCCTGCCTGTGGGCTCACAGTAGGTGAGGGCTGGGACTTGCAGGAGTGATCGTGAGGGGGTTAGAAGTTTTGCAACGAAGTGCCACATTTCCTAAATCCCACCCTCCTCTTCCAGCCCTGGATTGGGAATGGCATTGCAGCAAACAGGGAAGAGGGAGCACGAGTTGACAGCCCAGCATGGTAGAGCTCTTGGCAGCTTATTGGATCATGATGATGACAGAGGCAGAAACTGGCAGGAGATTTGGGTCAGCTGCAGCGTTGCTTACTCTGAGTGCAGCACAGGGGAGAGGATGAAGAGTCCTGTTGGCTTTAGTAGACGTTAATCCAGTGGAATCAGAAGGGGGGCTATGCCCTGAGCTCAACTCTGGGTCCCACCAGGCACATGTAGGGAAACAACTGACCCTGAAGGGGTCACAGCAGCACAAAAACCAGAAGAGCACCCTTCTAGGGAAAAAGGCAGGAAGAACCCTTGGAGGAACTGAGGAGTATCAGAAAGACAGGATGGAGAAGCAGGGTTTGTGAGTAAAAGGAGAAAAACTAGGAAAGGGGAGGGAAAGACAATTTGTAGAGGTTGGAGAAGAGGAAAACAGCGTGAGCAGAGGCTGAGAGGGACTGGCAGAAGTTGTCAGCAGAGCCCAAAAAGTAAGTGAAGGACAAATAAAGGAGGGCCGCGTGGCGGGAGAGGCAAAGGAAGAAAGAAAGGTTCAAAAGTGATGTTGAAAGCTTCGTTTGAGTACCCTCCCCTACTGCATCTGCTGTGCCATTATCCCAAACACGGTGGCCCATGACTGAGCCATCCACCCCCACTCCAGAGCACCACGTGGGCTACGCTGGCTCCACAGGCTGGAGGGTGAAGCATGAAAGCTGACATGTGCTTCCACCAGTGCAGCCGAGCAGAAAGGTCCCAGGCTACTGCTTACACCCAGGACATTAAAAGGGGTCTGACAGCACCACTGTAGGCTTCTTCCATTGCTACCTGGAGTACCTGGGGCACCCAGGTCAGGGCTGAGCGATAAAGCCAGAAGTGAGCCCATACTCTCCCCTCCCAAATTGTGGGAGACTCGAGGAGCTGCTGTTTGCCACAGCCTCCTCTGTTTGCCTGGGGACCAGCACAAGCAGGGGGAAAAACCTCTCCCAGGCAACAAATGTTTGCCAGTTCCCTCCATGGAGATGTAGGAGCTTTAAAACACGCAAACTGGCACATGTAAAGTTCTCACACCCAGTCTGTGCTGCTGCCTTGCAAAGAAACATCCCTTTTACTGTGCCACCCCCTTTGAGCCAAGAGGGAGCATGATGCCTGTGCTTTGAAGGGCAATGGGCTGGCAGCATCTAATACCTCTGCCACCAAACTGGGAAGGCGAGGAGGGGGCAGAGGTGGGCAGTGTCTGAGGAACATCTCCTACCTCCCGTACGTTCCGGGATCCCGACTCCCTGAAGGAAGGTTTGCAGCGGAAATTTATCTGTGGATTGAACACATGAGAGGAATCAGTAAAACCATCATACCCGAAGGAAACCTGGAGGTATCTTTCACTACAGTGGGCCCAGAGCCTGGTTGGTGCTTGCTGCAACCCTCCCCTCCTTCCTCACATCTCTCTCACTGAACAAAATGGACCTGGGATCCCAATCACGTTGCTAGATGCTCTTTTTGGTATCGCCTCCTCAGATGACCCTTCTTTGCAATGACAAACTATAGTTCCCAATCTTCTGTTTCATTCCCCAAGAGGAAGGGCTGGCCAGGAAAAGGCTGTTACAGCTTTGCAAGCCACATAGAAGGCTTAACAGACCCCACTCACCTTCTCCAGCTGTTCGATGCAGGGCGTATGCACTACGATCTTGCAGGCTGCACACTTACGCCTGGAGAGGGGTTTTTGCTGGAGGAAGAGAAAAGGGGAGGAAAAATACGTATATGAATAGCAGTGTTCAGAATCCAGTAAGCTCAGCCCCCCTCACACTTCCCTCACATTTTTCAGGATGCGGAACAAGTCCTACAGGAAAGTTATATACAGCTAGATCCCTTGCAAGAAAAGGGATCTAAGCGTGTGCCTAGAGCAGATGCTCTCAAATCTGTGGCAGAGCAGGGAGATCCTCTCCTCCTGCTTAATCAGTCCTTGGCCTCTTCTGACACTGCCTGAGAGCACCATGGTCTGGGAGGGCACTGGGTAAGCCCTGTGGACAGGCAGAAGATGGCATCAGTGCTCTATGTCAACACCACGAGCAGGATAGAGTCTGCAAGCCAGAAGGGAGGACTGCAGCAGCCCTGGAAGGTCCATGCTGCCTGCGGGGTCAGGAGGCAGCAGGCCAGCGCTCGCTTTTTTCCTCTACTGAAAGGTCTTTCCAGAGAAGCTGGATTTGGATTCTCTCTCTAAGGGTGTCAGATCCCAATACCATCATATCACCTCCGGATGAGTGGCAACCCCGTGTTGGGTTCCCACTGCAAACTGAGCACCAGCAGCAACTGGGGACGTGGCCCTCCAGCATGCAGAGGGAGGAGGGACACGCTGCCCCCCATCTTGGTAGCCCCCCAGGCTCCCAAGTTTTCCCTGGCAGCAGCAGCAGGATGTTGTGGTGTCCCCCGCCGGGTGGCAGCACAGCCCACATCGCCGGACCCTGCCAGGGAGGCGGGCGCCCACAGGTGACTCACCAGCAGCTTGGCCATACAGTTCTGCTCCCCGACGTAGCAGAAGTCCCCAGAGACATTGGTCTCAAACCAGATGTGCTCCCCATAGACCGCAGTCTCCTGAAAGGTACAAGACAATGTGTTTCTCCGAGACGGGCATCCGCGCTCCCTAAAATGCTTTGTGTGAGGGACAAGACACTGGGACAAGGCTGGGGGGTTGGAGCTAGGTGTAGGTTGGAAGATGAGATAAACAGAACAACCAGGGCCACCATTTGGACAGAGGAAGCCTCACAAAGCTGCTGTCACAGCCCACCCGTTGGAAATGAGAGGGGCCCAGGAAACCAGCTCCAAGACCCACAGGCCAGTTGCAGTGGCCTGAGCAGGGGGGCTGCCTCCACCACCCTCTGAGAGAAGGCATCAGGACTAATTCAACACAGGGGACTACCCTGAAACAACTTATCTTCTACGACCTGAGAATGGGGCTTAAAACCTGTGAGGCTTTGCCTACGAAGGAGCAGGGGCTTGATCCTGCTGCTTGGCCCCAGCCACCAGAAGACCTCAGCTGCCAGGAGCAGACGACCTGGCAGTGGAGTAGCTATACCATCCTCCCAGGAACCACCTGTGCCTGCACAGCCTCTCCTTGCAGCATCAAGAGTTGCTGCCAGCAGCACAGACGCTGGCACCAGCTGGTGGCAACAGTGGAGGCCATAAATGTGTCAAAGCTGAAGTCACCTGGGAAGCCTCAGCCTGGGAAGAACCTGCTGCTTCTGGGCCAGGAGCCCATTCCATGCAACACACCAGCAAAACATGCTGTAACTTACGCTCCAGTCCACAGTGTTGCGTATCTGCCTCTCTGAGTCGCTCCTCAGGGCTAGTGCAGGGTTTGGCTGGGCTACCATGTGCTGGAGGCTGGACTTGGCAATAGCTTTCCTGGAAGACAGAGGAGGGCTGGCTGTTAGATCAGAGGAGGAGGAATACGTGCAAAGCACAGCATGCTTCTAGGATGGACAGAAAAGCATCTTCAGGACCAAGTGGCTGGAAATGAGGTGAAACCCCAGCACCGCTGGCTGAGGAGCGCCCACTCCTGTGAGGCAGCTCCATGGGATGAAGAGGTGCCCAGCCACGTTGCTGGGCTCAGCTGAAGACACCTTGCACTGGGCAAAAAGGTAGAGCCTGGGTCTACTGGGTCAAAGCCCTCGGGGATGACAGGTCCATTGCAAAACAGCCTGGGATGCTCCACCAAGCTCTGGTGGTGAGGCTGCCTTTGCAGGGACAACCTGGAGCCCTTGCCCCACAGAGCCTTCCTGCAGCTCTCCCACACCAAGGCACCTCAAAGCTTGGGGTGTTTTTGGTGACCGGTACAACCAGCTGGAAAAAAAGGCAGCTGTTTGTTTAGGGCAAGTGAAGTGCACTAGGGTGAAGGAAAGGAGCAGCAGAGCCAGCCAGCTGGAGACAGCGTGCATCTCCAGCCCACAGCCAGGCCTGCCACCTTTCTTTCATAGAATCATACAGGGTTGGAAGGGACCTCTGGAGATCATCTAGTCCAACCCCTCCATCAAAGCAGGTCCACCCAGAGCAGGTTGCACAGGAACGTGTCCAGGTGGGGTTTGAATGTCTCCAGAGAAGGAGACTCCACCACCTCTCTGGGCAGCCTGTTCCAGGGTTCTACCACTCTCACAGTAAAATTCCTCCTCACGTTTAGGTGGAACTTCTTATGTTCAAGTTTTGTGCCCATTTCCTCTTGTCCTGTCACTGGGCACCACTGAAAAAAGACCAGCCCCGTCCTCCTGACACCCTCCCTTTTGTAAGCATTAATTAGATCCCCTCTTAAGTTCTCTCTTCTCTAGACTAAAAAGACCCAAGTCCCTCAGCCTTTCCTCATAAGAGAGATGCCCCAGGCCCTTAATCGTCTTTGTAGCCCTCTGCTGTGCCCTGGCCAGCAGTTCCCTGTCCTTCTTGAACTGGGGAGCCCAGAACTGGACCCAGTGCTCCAGATGAGGCCTCCCCAGGGCAGAGCAGAGGGGCAGGATGACCTCTCTCAACCTGCTGCTCACACTCTTCCTGATGCACCCCAGTATGCCATTGGCCTTCTTGGCCACAAGGGCATGTTGCTGGCTCATGGTCATCTATTTCAGACCCAGGCTGGCAGGAGGCAAAGCCTGTAGGCCATGGGGGCTGCATCAATCTTATGTAGAGCGGCTGAAGGAGCTGGAACAGTTTAGTTTGAGGAAGAGGAGGCTGAGGGGAGACCTCACCACTCTCTACAACTACTTGAAAGGACACTGTAGAGAGGTTGGTGCTGGTCTCTTCTCGCAAGTAATTAGTGACAGAATGAGAGGGAATGGCTTCAAGCTCCAACAGGGTAGGTTTAGACTGAACGTTAGGACAGAATTTTTCACAGAAAGAGCGGTCAGTAGGCTGCCCAGGGAGGTGGTTGAGTCACCAAAAGAGTCGTTTAGATGTGGTGCTGGGGGATATGGTGTAGGGGAGAACTTCGTAGAGTAGGCTTGATGGTTGGACTCAATGATCCCAAGGGTCTTTTCCAACCTAGACGATTCTATGATTCTATGACACCAGCAGCCACTGCCAGACACAGCCAGCAGCCATGGCCAGTGGCGCCGAGCCCCTTCCCTCCTTCCCCGCCGAGCCTGGGCCTGCACCCAGCCTCCCTGCCCTGAGCCATGGCCATACATACAGCAGCCGGGGGCTCCAGCCATCCGGTGCGGCGTGGCGGCCGAGCTCTGGTCCCAGGCACTCAGGGAAGGTGGCAGAGGGGTGGCCGGCTGCGGCTGCCCCCATGCAGCGCTGGGCCAGCAACCGCAGGTGGCCGGAGGGGAGCATCCCGGGCCGGGGGCAAGCCGTAGGTGGCCCGGCCGTACATGAACTCGGTGGGGAGGCGATGGGAGGAGGCACGTCGCAGGCAGCGGGGTCCCCGCGACAGCAGCCCGGCCTGGAGTGGCCGTAGCCGGGGCAGCATGGCTAACCACCTCTCCTCCGCCCGCCGCTCGCCCCGGCCCCGCTCGGCTCCTGCCACCGCCCCGCCGCCATCCTCCGGAGACTC